CGAGGACAAGCTTCGACAGAATCCATAAACGGCATCGATATGGCCGTTTTTGGTTTTTGGTTCTGGGGTACCTTTACCTACGCTGTGGATGTTGACTGTCTCAATCTGATCCTTAGCTGGGGAAAACAAAGGGTTGATGGGGGAATTTGCGAAACCTGCCTTGTGATAACTTAACTCCGGGGTTCCCTCCACCTTGTCCGTGACTGTGCTTTGTGGTATCTTGGCCTCAGGTCGGTGGATCTCTGTGGATGATGGTAAGCTTATTTTCTGAATTGATACCGCATCTGTGTTGGCATCCATAATAGTTTCTTTTTCTGCCTGGATTTCTTGCTCAAGATGCCCTCCCCCACTTTTTGGGCTTTGAATGGACCTCTTTTCTCCGTTTTCTGGGGGTATCTCGCTTTCCTCCAGACTGCTATACGGCCGTCCAGTTGATCTAGGCGGCGATGGAGTAGGGGGACGAAGTGGAATGACACGCTGTGGTCTTGGTGGCTGGTATTCGTCGTATTTTCTAAAGATTGAAGTATATGAATCGGTCGTAGCCACAGTAACATCACCCATATTACGATTAAGGTCGGCGAGATTGTACCTACGTGCAACGACGTGTTCGTGCGATGAGTTCTGCTCCTTGGCCTCTTCCATCTGCTGCTGCTGCTGATGGCCAGTGAAATCGTCGCTACTTGTTGTTTTTCCAACTGGGCGACTCAAACTCCAGCGCGAAATGCCGTGAGCTGTATGGTCAGGAAGATCCAATATCACGCTCCTTGGGGGCACGGAGGCGGCCGTGTGCTTTACCATAAACGGTGCTAGCAACCTTTCACCAACTCTGTGATTTATCACAGCCAAGGATACGGATGGGGACCAAGTTATTGGTCTCGCTGCTGAGGTGTCATTGCTTGACATAGCATGGCTTTCTACATCCATCCGTGAACAACTGGATGCCAAACCTGCGTCTACCTGACCTTTGGGATATGGAATAGCTAAAGTTAAGGAATGAAAATCACTTTGGACCCTTCCCTCGCTCAGCCCCACCTTGTCGACTGCGGACGCGCTGTCTAGCAGGCGCAATCGCTCCGCTGTGGCTAACGCGCATCCTCTCGTCTCTTCTTCACTGGAGGTGAAATGGGAAAGTGCAGGTGTACATTTTGTGTCAGAATCTGTAATGGTATCAGTAGCAGCAGGAGCGATCCCCCCATCTTCCCTCGGGCCTCTACTAATCAGAGACATCCCTTTTTTAATCCGGTTAGTGAATACTGGCTTCTTCGGTTGTTTACGCAACAGAGTGGTTGAGTCATCAGAAATTGGCGACGAATCCGGGAAAATGGTGTGATGATGTTGTCGCTGATACTTTGAGGATAGCTCGCCCAGGTATTGCTCAATACTCTCTCTCTCCGTGATTGAATTGCCCTCACAGCTTGATCTTGTACCAAGCCTGTGAGCTTCATTGTTGACGCTTAGATCACCCAGGGTTATTCCGTATCGCTCGATAGACTCTTTCCTTTGATAGTTTGGATTTCTGTGCTTTGATCGCTTCAGCACAGGTGAGTCATCAAGAACGTTGTCCTTGTATTCGGGTTCACAAGACTGTTTCATCGAGTTGGCCTTCGTGCACTCATCCTTTAATACTGAGTTTCCCGTCGTAAATTCGGGAAGCGGGTGTGATGAGCAATACGCCGGCACAGTTCCATTCCCTGGATGCTCCTCCTGTAGCGAAAAAGGATTTTTTTTAACATGCAAACCTAGATCCTTCACTATAGGGGTGTTTGCAAAATATGAACAGAAACCATGGTAGGTATCGTTTTGTTCTTCAGTAACACTGCCGACCCGTGAGGAGTGAGGTAGCTTAGTCTCACCCCTTTCTTCTAAGCTATAACTTCTTCTAGGAAATTTTGGTGTAACTGGCAATGAGCGGATCATATATATATATGTATATATAATTCCTCTTTACTTTCTACAAGCCCCTTAAAGAAGGGTGAAACAAGACAAATCTAATAGGAAAGTTGTACAAAAAAAAATGTTGTTTCCTGGATAATGCAGCATGGCCTTTGAAGAAAGGAGAGGAATGGAATAAAAGAGAAGCAAAAGAGAAAAGAAGCGCAAATCCGAAATGTAAAACCAAGTATTATTCCAAATACTTATTTAACAGTAACGTTGCTGGGTTGAGATATTTAATCAATGGACAGCGCAGGAATATTTACACAAAACGATTGTGCCCTAGAAGAGCTATGGGACCGCCGTTGGTTTCAGCACACGAAGCATCTTTCTCTTCAAATTCCTGGCGGAAGCAGAGAGTCGGGCGCTGCTGGGGTAAAGATGAAAAAAAATGAACACCAAGTGTTGATGTTCGAGTACACGGTCAAATGAAGTAAAATAATTTTCCCATGCCCTGGAAACGCATCCCGCACCCTTTTCATATTGGGACTACGTACACAAAACACCACCCCTCTAGGCTGAACGAATCTTACACAGTTTTCAGACATTTGAAACAAGACTAGTAGAGGATGCGTGATGTGCTATAAGATCGCAACAAGAGTTCGTCACAGGACATATCACGCCTCCTAACTCTTGAAAATAGAGAAAGCTAAAGAGCAGATATCCAAATGTCAATGAACCGGCATCCAATGATGGCATCTACGGAGCTCATAGCCAGCGTTTCGGTAGAAATACAAGAATATCTTAAAGAAGGTCACCCTAGCCGCAACACTTCATTATAAGGGAATAAAAAATGCTTTCGCGAATGTCTTTACAAATTCTTCAGAGGAAGACGCGGCCTTCTGAAGCAACACAGTCTAAGCTTTAGGATTGGTGCAGCGTAGACGAAATTCGGTACCGGTTATACTACTTTTTTCCCGAAAAAAACGTTTCATCCATTGTATTTTACGTCTTTGGAAGGAAAGAAAATATTCTTGAAATGGTAAGGACTGGTGAAAGTAAAGGACACCTACATATTCACTATGTTAGCCATATTGTACGAGGAATCACATATCTAGGCATACACCAGTGGCTATATATACAAAGATTGGGTGTTATGTTTATAAACAAATGTATGTACGCGTGTATGTGGTCCCATGATTCAGTGCTACACTTTTATTTTAATACTTATTTCCTGAAAAATTCAGCTATCATCATAGGAGGTACAACAGAAATAGGAATAAGAAAAAAATACGCCGACAGGAACGTGAGCAGTGCTAATCCCAGCCCGCAGGTTAGAGTATTTAACTATAATAATATTAAGAAAAATACTGGTGGCAAAAGAACTTGTGCCGAAACCGTCCCGATCCTTGTGAGAAACGAGGCAAAGTAATGATACAGACTTGTCTTCTTTGATGTGAAGAAACAAGGGTTACATCTAGATTTGAAACTGAATATGTTGACTAAGGTAGCCGCTACCCTTGCACGATCAGATAAAAATGAAGACAAATGAGAATTCATAATAAAATGCATCCCTCGGGCATTGCCCTCCCCCGAGAAGAGCCTTTTTGTCCCCTTTTTTTGCTTAAACCATTGTGTATTGAATTTAGAAAATGAGCAACAGGATGACAAGTCCAACAACAACTAGCAACCCCTTCCAATTATTTATTATTAAAATGGTCAAGCCATTTTTTTTATCAAGGCTGTTATCTGGAAACGATAACGGCAACTAAACAACACAACACAGGAAGCATAGGGAAAAAACAACTTGGCCGCGGGTGCGAAAAATCTAACCAGCACATCCTAACCGCCCAACGCTCTCCTGAGTTCCTGATACTCTGTACAGACATCAGGGATATCTTTACGTCCAAGTGAACGATACTTTATCTTCTCCGCCTCGCAGAGATTGCCTAGATATCTTTCTTGCCTCCTCAATACATCTCGCTCCATTTCCCGAAGTATATCTTTTCGGCGCTTTGTCACTTCATCCCATCGCTGTGTCGTATAATAGGGAACCCGAATACCGTGTAGAGAAGTTACACGTCTAACGATGTGATCATCCACCTGAGATGGTGTGAGACTAAAGGAAGGGGTATTGCCTTGATGTCCGTTGCGGTAGGAGTTGACATCAGGAGAGCTAAAGTCCATGAAGTTGCTCTGCAAAAGTAAGGCCAAAAGCAAGAAAATGGCAATAGGAATTATCATGAGAATACTTTGGCTAGAGTCGGCTTCGAGGTTGACCCCCCTCCCCCCCGCAGGGAATCCGCCCTGCGGGACATTGGTATAGTAGTTTCGCTGATACTGCTGAAAGCCACCGTTGCCAAAGAAGAATTCCTCAAAGAAGTCGCGCGCGCCGGCGGGGACGCCGTTTCGCGCGAAAGCATCCCTGCCCGGGTGTGCTGCGTACTGCCGCCGCCCTGCAGTTCGCTCGTGCTGCTGTACACCCGCCGGGCCGACCTGGTCATAGATCCTGCGCTTTGTGGGATCAATCAGAGTGGAATGAGCCTCCCCGACTATCTTGAACGCCTCCACGGCGTGCGAGTGCTTGTTTTTGTCTGGATGACACCGTAGGGCCATCTTTTTGTAGGCCGACTTGATTTGTTCATTGTTAGCAGTCCGCTGTAAGTTAAAAATCCGATAGTAGTCGGCCTTGTTCCGCAGAACGTGTTGCACGACATCCGAATCGGATCCACCGTGCATCTTCCTTTTGCACCTCTTGTCTTTCTTAATGTACTAAAGTGTGTTTGACTGGGCAATACTCCCCAAAAGACCGTTTTTGAAAAAGTGGGCACAAATTGTCTTGAAATGTTTTGATACAATAAAAATAGCTGCCAATCAAAATTCAACCACTCAGATACTTATACCTTCGAGCTATACGGCTTACTTCTTTACTAAGAAAGGAAAAGGAAAAAAATCGAATGTCCCCAGAGCCCCTAAGGCCCAGTAATTTGGTATACAAAATCAAACTTGGATGGGCTACCGAAGAGAAGGCACACCTATCTCCCACAGAGCCTTCCGATCGGTACGGCATTTAAACACATACAAAGCAGAAAACGCAAAGATGAAACCCCCAAGCGGTCTCGCTCGGACACCCCTCACACGACAATAGTTTCAAATTCCCTAGGAACACAATACCAGGTGTCGTACCATTGCCTAACGCATTACTCCAAAGGAGAAGAGGAAATACGATACCTGTGGTCTTTTATAGTATTATACGCTGAAGTGCTATACTGAAATATCAGAACGCATAGGCTTCATCATTTTAATGTACACATATGCGTGAGAGAGGGAACATCGACTCCCACACAAAAGAAAAAAAAACTTACCCAAGTGAGTTTCATTTCCCCATCACCCATTCGCTTATGCGCCAACGCAGCTTCACCCAGGTGCTAAGGAAGATCTAGCGGACCCACCACGACGAACTTGGGCATACCCTGCAACACAATCTCGGGTCGCTGATTATACAACAAAGTCACGGGTGTTTTCTTGGAGTCCTCCCGTCCAGCCTCCGTCTTAGCATCCGCAGCAAGTGAGGTCGATGATGCGGCGGACGCGGCCGCGTGCGAGGGCCGGCAATACCCGATCATTGCCTCCGCCCCCTTGAACTTATAGCACTCGTGCTCATAAAAGAACGCAATTCCGTTGCGCTCCCGCTTCGACATCATCTCATACCCCAAGTGCCGCCAGAACGGGATCGCCTGGACGTCCGCGGAGATCATCACGAACTCGAACTCCTTCCGCTGGCACCACGCCGCGAGGGCGGCGTTGAGGAGTCGGCCAAAGCCGTTCCGCTTGTACCCTGCCGCGGTCGCGAAGAGCGGCATCTCGACAAAGCGGTGCGTCTGGTGGTGATGCACCGTCACGGTGACGGCACACACGACCTCGTTGGTGGTGTCACAGTGGAGGTACCAGGTGTAACTCCCGTGCACCCGCCGCCGCGTCCGTGTCGAGAGGGACTGCGGCAGTGTCACAAGCCGCCGCAACTCCTGGGGGTCGGGGTACTCAAACTGAGAGGCGTAGAGCTCCACCACCGCCTGCCGCTCCGCCGCGGACTGGACAAGGGCGAAGCGGAGGGCGTAGGGGCCCGGGCCGGGGAGACGGGGAAACTGATCCTGGATCGCGGTGCGGACGAGACGCTGGGTGTGGGTGAGCCGCCGCGGCGGGGCGAACCCGCCGTTCGAGCCGGAGAAGGGCGAGCTGGGGGTGGGGCTTCCCCCGTCACTGCTCCCGCTCGGCGCGGGATCCCACGCAGAGGGAGAGGCGGCGCCACCTGCCCTCCCTCCTGAACAGTGGCTGATGTAGTGGTCGTGGTAAAACATGAGCCGCTGCACGAAGCCGGCGTCTTGGGCGAAGAGATGGGCATAGGCCCTCGCGATCTCCTTCCGGTCCTCTCCGTTCGCCTCCCAGTACTTTTTAATTAATCGATCTTTTTGTTCACCAGTGAGGTGGATGGTTTGGTAGTACTTGATGAGTATCCCCATCTGCTGGTCTGTAAGCATCCTCGCTATCGGGGTGCGTTAATGCAATGAGAATCAACCCTAGTCTACGCCAAATATAACTTTATGTACACTTGATTAGCTTTGCTTTCCCTAGTGAAAAAAGAAGAACCCAATCCTTTTGATGAAACTTCACCTTTAACCGGTCCACTTTTCAGTCATCAAAACAAAAGACACTATTCTTTGTATTTCAGGAAATTTTGGTATGGGTATGCGTCTTTTGCCTCAATTATGACCTACATCATAGTGTAGTGCAAAGCTCAATATAGTTCTCTCTTTTGACAGCCACACATACCCCCATACGCATAGATTTTTTTTGCCTTCTTTGCTCTACAGCTTCAGATCTGCAATCTTCATTAAAAGCTGGTCCTGCAACGGCTGATCAATTCTAAGAGCCATCCTAGCGAGCACAGAGGTGACAGATGTGATGAACACCACATCCGGATCTAAGGTATGCGTAAGTTCTCGCTTTGCCACATTATACAAATTAATTATCATATCAATTCGTTCAGCCTCGTACGGAAATGCCTTAACCCATTCCTCTATCTCAAACCCATCTAACTCCCTGAACAGCTTTTCCCCAAGAAGCTGCTTTACGTACGCTTGGAAGAGTGACCCGCGCGCGAAGCGTTCATAAATGGTCTTATATTTCGTGTATCGGTGGTGTCGTGTCCATAAACCAGGGGCAATCCTTTTGTGGTTTTCACGAAAGAAATCAAGAAATTTGTCAGCGCAGAGTATCGATTCCGCGACAGACACATCGCACAAGCTGAACGAGGAGATGCTACGGGTTACATTCATGAACCAGAAAGTGATGGGGGAAAGGAACTCGTGAGTTAAGGAGTCGAAAAACTTTCTCATGACGCTGTTGCCCACAGAAAACTGAGAAAACGGTGGATCACTGAAAGAACTAACGGCATCCGACGCGTCGAAAGAAGTGCTGCTGCAATGTACCCATTCAAGTTTGCGTTCGCAATGGTGTGGATCAACGTGTGAAGCTAGTGGAGGGATTTGGCCCTCCTTCTCGCTCGCTGAGGCCGCCTCCAAACGCTTCAGTAAGTATGAGGTCTGCTCCTTGTGATTGAGTAAAAAGTTAAACGTCGAATCAAAATGATTCACTAGACGGTGCTGCAGTCGGTTTCGAGATTCTTTTCCTTTGGACAGTCTCGTGGATATATCCCTCTGCGGCGTGTGCGCAGCCTCCTCCCTTAAGGTCCTGTACTGCTCCGGAGTAAAGAGCTTGCTCTCATTCGACGCTAGCCCATGCTTCGAGGCCAAGGGAGTATAATCGTAACTGTTATTTCGCAGATGACTCGTTGTATGCTTCAATTCAGAAGCCTTTCCGGAGTGTGAGCAAGACAGAGTAGGGTTGGAAAGGGACTGAAGTTGGGGTTGAACGTCCAGAACAGAGGTAACTGAAGTGATTAAAGGCACTATCGTCGATCCAACACGCTGCGGAAAGTGTATAGGGAGTGAAGGATGCGGTAACGGAGGGTGTTGACTATCGCCTGTGCGTTTAGCGTCATTGGCGCCACCTCCGAAATTGTCAAGATCATCTGGGATATCATCGTCAGAGATTGGAAAGCGGTCGCTCGAGCTCTCTGTTGAGCTGGACTGCAAACGATACCGGCGGCCTGAGTCAAAAGCAGTTGCATTTCCACACAGCTCTAACCTTCCTTCGTCATGATCCCTATAATTTGCAGAATTAGAGCTACAGGACATAAATTGTCGACTATTCTTGCTAAAGCATGAGCTACTCTGCGGAGATGGGCAAGAGCCTGGTGGATCAGCATTCAAATCTAGTTTCTTTATATCAAGTCCCTCGCAAACGTACCCTCCTCCAGATGTGTGAAGAGGTAGGGGATTATCTTTAGCTTTGTGTTTGGATAAGGAGGCCACCGTTGGTGAGGCTAATCCACTTTTATTTGTGGCATTACCGCGAAAGAAACTACCATACGGTAGTATGGGAGTTTTATCTTTTTCTGTTACAGTTATCGATTCACCCTGAGATGCTCCTTGTGGGCACAATACCGGGAAACTTTCTGAACCACCGTTTGATACACCGGAGGAAGGCGCCCAACGCCTCATGCGGAACGGCGAGGACGAGTAACTTGTAGTGTTAAAGCACTGTTTAGTAACTTTACAACCAGCGGAGTTAGTAGGGAACGCTGTGTTGATTGGTAAAAAGGGCCTATTCGGCGATAAAGAAGTAATGGGAGATGCAATCCGATGAGCGGCGGCACTGTCACCTAAATCCGATGTGGTAGTGTGTGGCTCCTCTCCTCTGGCTCGCACAAAGCGATCTACCACAGCGAGCAAACTAGGCCAGCCGTCAAAACTGCGGATAAGAAGAGGATTGGTGCCGGCGACGATCATGCCTTCCGTGGTGGGAAAAGGCAAAGCCTTGCCCATCCGGGTGAACCGCGTAAATTCATTACTTTGCATTGTAAAGTATGAAGAGATTACCCCTGTGTATGGAATCGGGGATACAAGTGAGGCTACGGCCATAGCCGCTGCCGAAGCTGTCGATGGAGTATTGCTCAAAATGAAAAGCGGCTCATGGCTGATAACCAGCTCCCATAGGTACGTCAAGTGCGTGATATGCTCACCAAGAAGATCGAATAAGGGGAGCAGCTCTTGCGAGTAAAATATTTTAGATGAGGCGTCAAATCCTATGGAGGTTCGCCGCTTCATGAAAGAGACGCGATGATCTAGGGAAAATGGTGGTCGTTTGACGGCGTGTTGTTGCCATTGGTGTGGCTGTGCCGCTATGAAGGAGTGCGGACCTGTTACAAACACCAGAACCTGGTGGAGGAGGAGTACTTCGTAGCGTACCTGCGGATGCGGAGAAGGCCACCCGGCAATTTCCTTGATGGCCTCATCAAGAACTTGTATTGGGGTATACTGATCTGGGTTATAGCTCGGATCCATGTGATAGAAATTAGATGGGAATGGGGACAGAGCGCCCGAAATGGTAGTCAACTCCGTATCTGGAGAAAGTGTGCAACATTGTGCAAAGCGTGGAGCTACGGTGCGTAGGATAAGTTCGTGGGCGGCTATGAAGGGCAGTCGAGAAAGTAGGACGATGGCTTGCTGCACGTAGGAGCGCTGTACTCGGGTGTCGTATTTTTGTCTATAGTATGCAGCACCGTAAAGCCTTGAGATGATAGAGCCTTTGCCAGGGTTCGCAACCACCGTCTCGGGTATCACTTGTGCAGCTGCCTGTGTACAATCCTCTAGACTAAAATTGAAGATGAAGTTGTGGTCACAATCCGGGTTGCAATCTGGAAAAGCATACTTGATGACCTCACTCTTCCCATTTTCAGTAAGTGCATCGTGTGGGGTGATGTATTCAATCTTCGGGCCGATGTCTAGATCAAAACGAATGTAAACAAAGCACACAACCCAAACCGACATTTGAAGAAAAATAGCGTAAACGTGTTTTTTTCCTTTTGAAGCTTAAATGCAATAAACGACAAATCAAACCAAACCTTCAAAAAAATGCCAAGAGATATAAAATAATCAAAAAAATAATAACCTGAAGATAATTAGCACTTTGTTTTTTTTACTGTTGTTGGGATTCCTTCCTCATGCGCTTTTTTCGCTTGATTGAAGTTCCCTCCTCATGGTAAGACAACAAGAAAAAGGGCGTAAAAGTTATTGTAAGATCGTTCAAGTCAACATTATCACACTCCAACATCAAGGAACAAGCAAATACATCAAGCAGATGTTACAGTGGTAAACCACAAAAGTAAATTAATATTATCCTTATTGCAAATATAAGTAGATAAATGAGGGCAATAGAAAGCATTGCTCTAGGATTACGTAATAATACTAAGCAGCTTGAGGACCAAATAAATACATCCGTAGGGCATGCGAACTAAAGAGAATAAACAGGTTTCCCCCGTCCCCTATCTGTTAAGAGATAGACGTCTGCACTAGTGTTTTAGCAATCTCTTATATGGTTCGCTTATGGCTGTTCAATGAATTAAAAATTTTCTAAAATAATTTTTGGGGAGTTAATATAAACATTTTGAGATCACTTGACGCATATGAGCAAAAAAGAGAAGATTTACTTTTTCTTCATACTCAAGTTTATGCTGCTAAACAAATTCCCAAGCCTCAAGATGCCATGTGGCGACAGTGATGGTGGTTTTCTTCAAAAAGGTGATCCATCAGCTGGATCGTACTATCCATGAGGCCTCTGAAATCCCAGTGGGGCTCCTCCAGTTCTCCTACCTCTGCCCTTTCACTGCATACAGACCCCTCTGTGCAGTCCGTTCCTTCGGATATTAGTATTCCCCACATGAAGTGGGTACACGGCTTTCAAAGTCAGTCCCCAGTCTGCGACGTTGGAAACTACGACTTAATAGTATTCACCACTGCTAAAGTACTTACTCTCATACTATCACCCTCTTTCCTTTCCCAACTAACCTCTAGGAACACTAAACCCTTGGGGCGACTTCCGAAAACGTTTGTAAATATAGCGAAAGACTCCAGAAGCCTACATGCTGTACAAGTGATAGCATTTAGGGTGGTGGTTATAAAGGCTCACTGTTCTCGCATCAGCATTGGGTAGCTAAACACAAAAGGGGCTGCAAAGCTTTTTGAATTTAGCCAAAGAGATCCAACTGGATAAAATCGCCTAGGTAAGTATTCTTTCTCCCGCACTATGAGTTAAGTAGGGGCAGCATGATCTGCTCATGGCTGTGTGGAATGCTTGTTTATGAAAAAATACCGATTGCAAGCATCCTGGCTCAGTCGATGACGTTGATCATCCTATCCCTGAGCTTTGTATGAACACGGTCTAAACACCAGAGCTATCATGCTTCGCTAATGATAACTTCTAAAGCACTTGGTGAAAAGGATAGCACTCCTAGCACTTTGCTTTCAAGGCGATTAGGCTTCGGATGGCTAAGGAATGCTACTACCCAAATGATATTACTTTACAAACACACTGGAGATGAAAAGAGAGAACAAGCAAGCCGATGCCGCACCAACAGTCGATGATAACTCAGTATTCACTGAAAAAAGTGAATACGATTACTGCTGTGTGATATGCGTGGTACCATCCTGGTCAGAATTTGAAGAGGATCACTGCCCAGCGTGCATCAAAGCACGTAGGTGTACTGAAATATCGTCCACTATTGCGTTAAGCGCTTCTTGCAGATTTTGTAGCTTATCTTTTTCAGAGCACAACCTTTCGGAGCAACCAGGCGGGAGGTCCTTTCTCGGTGTCTTTTTGCCTGAGCGCTCCGCACGTAAAGCCAGGTAAACACTTTCCGGCATGCTAAGCTGCTTAATCCTGTCAGCTAAATTGCTTTTTTTCTGGTACAACCTTCGCAGCGAATTCTCAATCTCAGCTTTAGATTTGCCGTACAACTTGACGGGAAGAAGAGGTACCTCAAATTTTCTATTACAGTCAGCTTCCCCAGTGCCGTCTTCTCCACCTGAAGCAGATAACATCTTCGTCATGTGGGTGGCAGTATCACCTGAGAAAGGGGTCTTGTGATACTGAGATACCGCAGCTGAGAGCCCCGTGATGCCGGTAGATGCATTGCTGCGATGAAGCTGGGTGCTTCCCCTCGCAGAAGTTCTTCCAGGCGATGGCTGCGGCGATCGGCATGCACCATTTCGATAGAAAGGCGAACGAGGGGCCGTGGCGCTGGAAAGTTGAAAAAGCAAAGGGGTATCATTCTCACCTTCGGAGCGAGGCATCAAGCCAAGCCCACTATACGGCAGTACGGGTGAAGGAGAGACGTTAGCAGCCGATGATCCTGTTGCAGTCGTACAACAGCCCGAAAGCATCCTAGCCAATTTAGCGCTGGGACATAACCCACCAGGGCTGCTATTCGGACGCGTGCTAGGGCAACTTGGACCGACCGACGACGCCCTGACAGATGGGATTCGATGACTGAGGAAGGAAAACTGACGCCCACCGTGGTATTCATCTTCGCGCACCTCCGATGTGGTGGTGTAGAGCTGTCTAGAGCGTCTCAAGGAAGGGTACGTCCCTGAGATGTAATGAGGGTTGTAGTAGGGCGACAACCTAGCAAGAAGGCTTGCACGTAGGTTAGACTTTTCAGGCCTAGCGGTGCTGGTCGGCGTCGGTGTAAAAAAACCCTGAGGACGGCTTCGCAAAGGAGTCGTGCGTTGCACCTTCGGGTTTGAAAAGTGCTGAAAAACTCGTCCATTCTTGGCTTTGTGAGGCTCTGGTGGATCCACATGGGTGGTGTACCCTTCCCTAATCGAGCCCACAGCGTTGCGAGTGAAGCCCTCGGAAGAGGGTCCACGTTGCCGCCGGAAAGGGCGCCTAGCTTCTTCAGATCTCTGAGCTTCGCATCTAAAGCTTCGATTGGCATCTTTCCTTCTTTGCCGGAACATCACCTGCGAGCGAATCGCACGGCACAAGGCAGTGATGGGGGAATTCGGCGAGATCTGAGGGTACTCCACATCCATCGTGGCGAGACCCCTCGCCTCATCGAGCCTCCTCTCGGAGGGAAACACGTGGTCAGAGGAGCCCAAACAGTTATTAAGGCTACTAACGCTGTCACCACTGTATTGATGAGCATTCCGCTCCCTCGTGAGGATTTTAAAACGCAACTCCCCGGCTCTATCATGTAAATGTGCTTCGTAGCTCGACTTAACCGGCGTCGGCGGCACCTCAAACACACAGCTTATCAACCACAGGAACTCCGCTAGGCTCAACGCATTCGTCAGGGCATGATCCACCTCCACCCCTTGGGCGGGGGCGAGGTCGACAGTGAGATCGAACGTCTGGAGAATCCGCTGAAGGCGTGGGATGGGAAGACACCCTTTGGCGTCTTTAAGCCGTGTGAACGCCGCCCGAGCGGTGGCCTGCCAATCGATCGCAACCATCGCTTCAAAGTGTCGATGAAACGATGCGGTCTCCTCCACGCCTTTGGGGGGGCGCGCGACTGCCGATGACGCCGAGGAGGTCCGTCGAGAGGTAGAGAGGGGGCGAGGGGAGCTGGAGTCATCCCCTTTCCCGATAAGAGCGCCCCCCCCTCCACCTGCGCGGCGTGCGGCCGCCGTGTTTGGCAAGCCCGTCGCCGAAACGGATCGCGCCTGGAGTCGTTTTAACGGGAGCCCCCGCGTCTTCGGGTGGGAATTCGCGCACGGCTCACGTGGGGGGGTGGGGTGCCCGCGAGAGGGAAGGCGTCGAAGGGAGGTCGGCTTTATAGCGTCCGCCGGAGGGGGGTTGGGAGGGTTGGGAGGAGGGGGAGGGGGACGACGATTTCCCGCCCCTACCGACGCCTCCAGCGGGGATGGGGACCTCTGAGGGGCCGATGAGGTCGGCCTCGAGGCCACCCGAGGGTTGGAAGGTCGGGCACCCTGTGAAGAGGAACCCGCGCGAGCAGAAAGTCCGGGTCGGCTTGGACGCTGCCGTAGTGGGTTCGCATCGCTTGAAGGGTCGCGAGGGGTCGCATCACGGGCTCCCCCCTCTTCCCTCCCTCCTTCCGCCTCCTCGTGTTCGAATTCCCTCGCTGCCTTGAGGAATTTGATATGACCGGCATACCGTAACACCTCGGCCTCGGTAAGGATGCGGAGGGGTTGCTCCCCCCGCGGGGCGGGGGATTCCGTAACGGACGTAGAGGACGACACGCCATTACAAGGAAAGACCTCGGTGACGAGGCCCAAACACCGTTTTAACCTCTCTAGACGTTGCGTCGCGTCTTGCGTAGTGTTGTCGATCTTCCCCATGAGATGAAACAACGCACCACCTGTCCCAGAAGAGTGAGACGCCGGTTTGCCCATCTGTTTTCTATATTCTGCGTAATACCCCAAAACCACGCCGCGCTCATTGGCGTTGAGTGGAAAGAAAGCGTAGGGAGGAACCCCGTCGTCACCTAGTTGAGAAAGATAACCAACTTCAGTCCCGCTCGCCTCAAGATGTTGAGGGTTCCTGGAGGTAATGTCGCCTTCCACGCCATTTTCTGAGCTTTCACCGGAGTCCACATGGCTCTGGCTACGAGTAGGCAGATCGTCTCCGTTCAGCGACGCATCCAACCGCGCGTGCGCGACGGGGATGGCATCTGACGTGTAGAATGCGTCGTCGTACTCAGGCGTCATAAAGGTGCGCGTATCCACGCTAGGTGAGACCTGTTGGGGGTCACTGCTGTCATTTTGGGGCGAAAGCGGGGTTGTTGAAAAAGCCGAAACCAACAAGGGCGGCGGTGGGTGCGGCATCAATCTTGCTTCCTCTCCAGTTGAACTTTCTGAAGATGTTCTATCAGAGTCAGTGAAACTGGTACTACTACTGCTGCTCGTTCCATCGCGTTCGCGTGCATTCGTATGGTCGATATTAAACTCCGTGTTTTCGTGTGATAAAGGGGTTGGTAAATCGGATTGAGAGCTTTGCTCATCTATTTCCTTGTGCATCGTCATAAGGGACGTGCTGGTGGTAGAAAGAGAGTGATCGACATCCATCTTTCTGTCATACTCTTCCTTTCCACCAGAATGACGTCCATGTTTACCAAAGTCACCAATAGTTTCATCTTGACTGGCTTCGATCCTGGTGGGTTTGTCAGAGCTGGGAAGGCTGTCAGAGACTGAGCTGGCCTCGACGCTCCTTTTGCCTTGGTTACTATCGTCTGAAAGAGAAGATTCAAGCGAACTATGGAGAGGGCTTTCGCCACCGGTGGCGTCATGCGTTGAAACAGCTACCACCCCGTTAGGCGCGGATCTCTCACTTTGTGAAGGCGAAGGCTGCGAAACGAACTTTAGTCTAACACGATTCCTTTGCATGGTTCCTTCCCGACACAACCCGTTAGGAACTGTTTGCGAGGAAAACATGTTTTGCTTTGTTTTTTGTTATAACAGATCAAAGTAGTGTGGCAGGCTAAAAATGTGTAACTAAAACATATGTAGATGGTAGATAATAATAATAATAATAATAATATTGTCGAAAAACGGTTCTAAAAGAGCTCTAATAGAAAAAGAGAATTCAAGAAAAAAGGTTGAAAAAGGAATCAAATATTCAATGATTTCTTTCTATTTCCGAGCCTTTCGAATTTTTTAACTGGCCTTTTCACCCTCCACCCTCCCCCTTGCATCTCCACAACTTGAAAGCGTCCTAAAAACACACAAGGAGTTACCATTCCGCCAATGATCATTCACTTTTAATTTGCATACCTGATATAGAACTTGACATATAGAATAACACTACATGAATACATTAATCTTGAGAAAATGTATATAATCATAAGCATTTTTATTCACAATTTAGTAAAACACAACTATAGAATAATACATAGAAAATTTTTTTGCATCGACTCAAGACAATCGGTGGTAGTTTAAAAGTTTGTCTGATTTAAAAGGAATTTCGTAAGACTAGGCGCTGACATAGAGTCGAATAGGAAAAAGAAACTATGCAAGAGCATTTATTACTTTTGGGAAGGGTGTATGAAACTTTAACGGCTCTCCCAGGCTGGATGTTTAGTAATTTCGAAGTAAAAGTCGAAAATTTAGCTTGAAAGTTATAAATAACTCGAAGGCCTCTCTTCGACCCTAATAATATCCTTCGCGATTGCCATTAAATTCCTTATACGCATCGGCCGTAATGGCAAGGCCAATACCATTCGTGGAGCGCTCGTAAATATTTCGGTATTTATCTGCCTCTCGATAATTTACCTTCTGGCCTCTAAGGTGTTGATCCTCAATCCTTGCACGGATCTTGGAAGACAGTTCAGCATTCCCTGCCACCTTGCTTCGGAATGACGAAAGCAGCTCTTCCTTATAAGCCCTTCCATTGCTGCTGTCGACATCTCTGAGGGAGACGGTTCGCGGCTTCATGCCGGTACGGTCGTCGCGCAGAAGCACGTCTCGTTTCCATAGCCGCACTAGGTTCTCCGTGTTATCACTATCCGTTGCTGAGGTAAGGGTACCGCCGTCTGTCGTCGCATCGGTATTCATCGAAAAGAAAGACTCGTACTTCATTGATTGCCTCGGCGTCGAGCTATTCATACTGGAAGTAGCGCTATTCTTGCTACCAAAGCACTCCGGGTATGGTTTCTCACTCCCACCACTTTGCTTATACGCACCTGGGCAGGTTTCCTTTTCATATGAATTCCACATCGTCTTTTCCTTCTTTTGTTTCTCCAAGGCTCGCTTTTCGATATCGTTACGAAGAGATTGAAGGGATGTCTGCGCAGTAGTGCAGGCCGGTTCGATCTTCAGCGCTCTCTTATATGCCTGCTCTGCCTCTTCATAGTTCTTACGCATGTAGTGTGCATCTGCAAGGCGAAGATGACCCTTGAACCAACTTGGCCACAATGCAATTACTTTCTCTGCATCCTTCAATGCCATAGACGAACCCGCACACATCGTAGACTTCAAGTAGGCCGCGCTCCGGTTGCAGTACAAAATGGCGCACTCCTCAGCATTACCCTCCGCTAGCTGTAGCGCATTTGTATAGCAGCGGATTGCCGAAAGATGGCTTCCATTCCCAAAGCACAGGTTACCAACCTCCCGCCATTCCTGAATCAGCGAGGATATGCAATCACTTTTACTACCATCATTCAGAGTCGAAGCAGAGCTGCTCTGCCGTTTCCTGTGCGCTATGGTTAAAGACTCAATTCGTTGAGCCAACCCTGGAGGAAGTGGTGCCTCCTTAGACGACATCAGTGAAATGTAGAAAAAAAAGCTAAATATAATTCGTACCCGTTGTGTGCGGTTGTTCCTTTTCTCCTTATTTCGGATATACGTAAGGTTTAGAAACAGCATTACGTGAAAACAAAAAGGAAGGATAGAAGAATTAAGGATAATAAAATTAAGCTTGTCGACTCACAAAAGTGAGCAAGCCACGAATAATATCACCACTTTTTAATCGCATTTGATTTAATGACGTTCATCAACACACGTGCATCAGAATGAGTGAGACCTTTTTAAAAAAAAATTATCCTCCCTCTGGCGGGGGAGCTGCTTCTATGAATGTGACCTTTTATATGACCTCTTCTATAATATCGGTTAGTCCAACCTTATCCTTCTTTTTATTGCAAACGTGGTCGCTTTCTTGTGAGAGAACCGTTAGAATCTCCGCTTCTGTTGTCTGAAACGTCGTCCTCTTCATCGGCATCATCACTATCTTCCTCTGAACTATCTTCAGACTCCTCACTTATATCGTCGTTGGAGGTTTCATCTGAGTCTTCCACCACCACCTCGCAACCTTCATTGTCTTTTGAATCCAGCGCAACAAGCTTTGGGAAAAGCCCAAAGATGGCGCTGAAGTGCGAAGGGGTGTCGACGGGATTATCAAACAGGTCAAGCACCTCAATCTCGGGAAACGAGACCGCCAAACGTTGGACCTCTTCCATGTCCGTAATACAATTATTCGGTAACAGTAGACGCTTCAATGAAGAACTAACGAGCGGGCATAATTTACATTCTGTAAAAACGCCTTTCGCTGTAGACGCATCCACGTTGTTGGTAGTACTACCTCCCAGATTCACCTGCTCGGCTGTACCCTTCAGTTCTTCGAGTTCTACAGCAAGGACATTCGGTATAGTGACAGCGTTATCACTCAAATTCAGTAGACGCAACGAAGGAAAGCAGCTGAAGGGAATGGATTCTAGCGATTTCAGTTTTGGCTTAAGGAAAACAAGGGTGAGATGAACAAGATTTTTGTAGGGGGTGAAGAGCTCGGGCAGAAACGGAACCCCGCTGAGAGAAATATCGGTGACCTCACTAGATTGCAGGCCTTCAACCTGCTTCTGAATGCGAAACGCAGCCGTCTTCTTCAGAATCTCCATAATGCGATAATATTTTGATAACAGTATTCACTGCAATAGTAGGTGCAACTTAGATGAAAATGCCCCCCTTTTCTATTTTATGAAGAAAAAAGTATTCGAATTATTTAAGACTAAGAAAACGTCAAAGGCTCAAAGACGCTAACTTCCACCACAAAGGCCACTGTGGCAGTAAAAAAGAATAGTGAGCATGTATTTCATGCTTTCATTTCAATTAAAGATATACCGATGAACATATATTGTCATGACAAGAAAAGTGATAAAAGTAATCATAGTTACCCTCTATTTCGCTTTAATTAAAACTAGCGCAGTAAAGGTTACACATGCAAGGGAAAAGGGTACACTATCGGTCGCATGGTTAAAAGAAAAAGAAGACTTAGCGCACGCCAAAAGGTACCACAGATAAAAAGGAAAGGTGTTAATGAGGTAAAAAATACTACCACCAGGTGTGAACCAACGAAAGCACGGGCACACACGTACAAAAACTAGAAGAATCAATAAATAATAACTTGCATAGCGTAATCAGAAAATTGGCATAGAGTATTCAAATAAGATGGTTAGATGTGCTAAAAGAAACGCTGCAATTGAATGCATTTCTCCTCTAGCATCAATGTTTCCCTTCCGGAAGTATTATTAATTTTCCTCACCTACGGGATACCTTTTGTAGCGCTTCGACACTCATCCCATCTTTTATACCTTCTAACAGCAATGTTCGATGCATTCATAGAAATTTTCGAGGCGGAATGGGGGCGGTTACATCGACTTCCACGTCTTCGGTGGCCTCGATATGACTGTACTGAATCAGTTCTGGAATTCCATGTTCGTCCAGTATCGCAATAGAACCTTTATTTCCAGTACCGCAGTAATTTGATGCTGAAAAAATGGTAAGCACACGATGTTGGTGAAGCCATTGAAATCCTTTCTGAACACACTGATGAGCACGAATGATGTAGTTTATCTTGTTCTTTTTTAAAAAAGAGCAGGTGACATCCTCACCAAACGTATGCCCCGTACCCCGGGCGTTATGTGAAAACCCTATAACCGGGCCATCGTAGTCTACTGGAACTGAAAAATCGAAATTATTTTTAAACACCAAATGATAATTCGTATTATCCCCTGGCAGGCAGTTGGCGCCATCACCTGCTTCATGATGGCAAGAATCAGAGGAGCCCTGCGCGCTGGAGATAGGGTCTGACCACGTTAAATCAGCCAGAGCACCGTTCTCAATAACCTTGAATCGATTAACAGCAATAATGCCATCGAGACTGTTTCCAATGTGGGGTGAAAGTCCACCATGCATCGCACAAATCCTCACCACCTGTCGCTTATCATCCTCATTCCTTACTCGATTAATAAATTTTGAGGGTTTGTCTGCTATCTCCACTTTTGACTCCTTCAGCGGTGTGGGGTTACTGCAGCTTTTCGTCCGACGGGGTGCGGCCGAGACGTCTTTTTCCCCCTGAGGCCCCTCGCATCCCACTCGCTCGACGGTTTCATAAATCGCAGCACAAATCGGTAGGCACTCGAAGACTTTGTTCGCGATGATCCAGAGCGGGTGGTCGCTAAGATCCCACTCCATCGCATCCATCGCAGCCTGCTCGCTCTCAAGTTGGGCGGCCTGGTTCGCGGCCTCCTCTGCCGTGGTCAACAAGTCAGTGGTACCCATACCCGCTTCTGATTCCCCACCGGACTTTTTCCCCGTCTTCTTCTGCAATCCGCCTCCGGGGGGAGACCCTCCATGGGAACTGCCTTTCCCCTCTCGGACTTGTTTGAGCGTCCCGCCTTCTGAGTTGACGGTGGCTGGGGTGATAAATACGGAACTACGAACACAATTATTGATGATGGGATACATCCGATGGCACTCTTCCAGAAAGCCGTAATGTCGGTTAACGAGGGAGCACTCATGATTGCCACGAAGCAAGAAGACCGTATCTGGCGAGAGAAGCTTAGCCACCAAAAGAAGGCATAGACACTCTAGGCTGCCCTTGCCACGATCAACGTAATCTCCTAGAAAAAGATACGTGGATGCCTTTGTCATATCTCGTGATGGGTTCTTTCCCGAAGAGCCGTCCTCAAGTGCTGCGCGTTCCGTACTTTTTCTACCTTGTGTAGCCTTGCTCTTGATCGCGGTAGAGTCGGGTTGGTGGTGAAAGGATGACGAGGTCGGCTGTTTCACATTCTCTTGGGGTAAATTACCCACTTTGTTTAGCCCCTCGGACCTTATCTTGCAGCTATGGTTAGCAGATCCCTTACAAATCTTCGTATTCTCCTTCGCAGGAGCCCCAGCGCGGATGGATGCCGCACGGAGTTTCTCCTCCGAAACTAAGGGACCACCTGCAGACAAAACATGCTCGCGCAAGTCGCGTATCTGCCCATGAATATCCCCCACCACGACAACCGGCAGAGGTACCATGACAATATTCGGTAAATCCCGAAAGATACCGTCGGCACGAATCAGAATTTCGTTCATTTCAGCTGCAGTCGGTAGGTAGCCCCCACCCTTAAGTAGATTACGGTAAATCTTAACTAAGTCAAGGTCTTGGCATCGCTTCAACGTGGGTGGAGTGGTCGGAGGGGCGGTGGCAGGATTTGGCTCATGCGTTACGTCGGGAAACCCCAGGGTATTCTCCCGCCGCAGAGATGCAAGAAACCCCGTTCCACATGAAAATAACTCGTCTTCGAATTCTTGATCAAGCTCCAGACAGAAATGGTAAAGAGCCAGAGCATGCCGCGCACGGAGAGCTACAGACTCCTCCTGTATTTCTTCGAGGAGACTCTGAATTGCGGTGGAGGGCTTTCCAAAGGCACACGCGAATTCTTCATGTGTTAGAGTAGCCCTGGAATGTGCTATTTGCAAGCAAATCATCTTGGCCTTCTTAACTACGTTATGCCTTTCGCGCATATCCTTGCATTCACACAGAGTGTGTTGAAACGCTTTAAAAAAATCTGCCACCTCTGAAACCGGAATTTCCTCCGTTTCGAGGGGCGCCTCGCTTAGCATTACGTCATCATATTTGTTACCATACGAATCAGAGGGACTAAGCCCTATGCTCGATAAAGCACACCTCGCTTTATTGTCTTTATAGTCGTCTGTGCAAGAGCTCACCGCAGACTTTGAAGGTGGCTTATTTATTTCATTCATTGCTTTGTCTGTCTTAATCCCAAATATAGAGCCAAGGGATCTCATTTTTAAAAAAGATTATAGCTATTGGGCTTTTCCTTATGTTGGTATTACAGCAATAATTGTTATTTGGAAAAACAAGTTGATAAAATCAATGGGTATTAAAATGGCAATATAAAAAGCAACAAAAGTGAGGTCTGCTATAATAAGCTGAAAAAAATGACACTTAAGAAGACTTTATCCTTTCAGTAATGTGTGTAACTAAAAGCTTAGTAGTGTCTGTACGATTTTTTCTGTTAATTGTCTTATAGTATTTATAGAGTTTTCGCACACTAAGTTGGTAATCATTAGTAGAAAAGCAAGGAAAGCAGGATAAAATAATCATTAAGATATACACTAACACTTTAAAAACAACACCAAAATAAATTAATCCGAACTTTCCTCTTTTTTTATGGAAGTGGGTGTGTAACGGTCCAAATAGTAGTTAAGGGAAAAAGTGTTTCAAAAATAGGAACACTAATTTTCAATAGAAATCAAAGTGAACACCCAGAAGGTGAAAAAAGCTACCCTTTTAGTGAAAAAAACGGATGAAAAACAGTTCAGAATACACTTATAACAACAAGTGACAACCTAAATGTTGGATACATATACAAGCTAACCAGAAAAATGGAATACACTGAGAGTGCACAAATAGAGGAATGCATTACACGGGCCCCAGTTGCAAATAACTATGAGTACTCATGAGTATTCCATATGTAAAAATAGTGATAAGTGCATGAGAGACCTATTTTTATTATTACCGTTGGTGTGATGCAGTTTCTTTCTAATGTCATGGACTTAGTGAAACCAACGAATTCGCAAAATGTTCATAAAACTCAAGCTCAACGATGCTCCAGATTATTTCATCTTGAGTGATCGCTCGGTTCTGATAGCTTAAGTCGAGGAAGCTTATTGGGGTCATATTTGTCCTTTCGCACATTAGCAGCCCCTTTTGCTTGTGTACCTCCGACGTGATGATCGCTTCCAAAGAGCAAAATTCCCAATATTAACAATATATTAACTGTCCTCAAAAGTATTGAATGGTTGTGTGAGGATGGGAAATATTCAAAGGCCGGTACGATCAAGCCTAACACAGCATACCGAAGCCAATTAGGAGATTTCGTGCTGTACAAAGTGTAAGGAAGCATATGAAAAAAAGAGGTATATAAGTCACATTGAAACATGCTTGCCCACAGCACGCCAGCGAGATTGGACTCAAATAGTGTTAGCACTATCATGTGACTGTTATAGGAGTCTTCCTCATGAGATTCACCATCCTTTTCTACCTCCTTTTTTTCATTATTCAGGGATATACACCAGCGTTTACTCCACCGCAACCGCCATAATAATACCCAACTTAATACTATAATGGCTAGAAACACATTCATTTGATAGGGCGATGCACCTATGAATTTTTCGAATAACTCATATTTTTCTGGACGTTCAGGAATGAAGACAGATCTGAGCTCAAAGAGCTTGCCTAAATATGACCTCCAGTTATCAAGAATAAAAGGATAGCCTACCACGAGCTGCCACACAACACACACCGCTAAACAATTCAACACTTTAAAAAGCGAAAGTGAACGCAGCAAGACATAGAGCAGACCGGGACCAAGTAATAACAGTCGCACTTGAACAGAAACTGACATGCTATATAAGAGGCAGCCGAATTTCCAGTATCGTCGACCAGAAAGTAACGTGATAGCACCATACAAGAAAAACATAGCCCAGCAATCATTCAAAAGGTTTAAGAAGTAGGTGCTTAGGATGCGTGGCGAGACAAAAAGCGGTATAGTTACCCACCACGGAAAATCTGCTTGATGATACAAAGACAATACCATTCCGAATGTCATCAAGTAAACACTTGAAAAAATCATTCGCGCTAAGCTAACAGATGTGCTTGCTTTTGTGATATAATAGAGAGCACCATACACCCAAACATACCCACCAGGACAATTCAGGGATACGTTACTACTTTTAAGCTTTCCATAGTCAAGTTCACCATCTAGAAATCCTCCTACAGCTCCCATGTACGCGTTCCAATCTGTTTCCCTGAAAGAGAAAATGGAGATGATACCAATGATAAGTAGTATTTTAAAGAAAAAAGCATACCCAATGAAGTCCATTACTTTGTGACGATAAATAAATCTTAAAGCTTTAGTGGAATTATATTAAGATTTATGTTTGCATCTATATTTATATTAAACTTTGGCAATGTCAATAAAAAATGAACAAAAAATTGAAAAAGTTGAACATTTTTTATTTCTAAATCATCATGAGTAAAGGCATACAATCTGCCTCAACGGCATATTGTAAAGATGGGTTTGCTTATTAGAGCTTCCTAACCGCTAAACGCATCAAGAGTAATTATATGAATGTCTAGTTATATAATAACACAAAATAATCGTAACAGCGAACTATCTCAGCTCCCGAACATCTCCCTGATGGTCACGATCGATGCATGAACGCAGCGCGCGGGAAGAGGTCTCCTCAATGGACCCGTAACGGCCCCCTGGCCGATTAGTCTTCTGAAACACTCGCCAAAATCTAATATTGCTGTCACCCCCGCCCGCGACAGAGGCCATGCAGCCCTCATAGCTGGAGGGTGAAAATGGGCAAGCTAAGAGTGGCCGTGCACGATGCCCCACCATGGCATACTGAAAGTGCAACGGCAGTGACGTCTCGGCGGTTTTGCCATACAAACGGCAATGCCGGTGGGGTTGGTCCATTGAGGAACTGGGGCTGTGAATGGCCTTTTCCTCACGAGAAAGGAGATTGCAGGGGCATAACTCGACAGAATCGCGCTTAGGCTTGCGCCACACCACGAGAGAATAGGACGGTGGGGCCTGTTGACGCGTCGCCGCGCCAGGACGAGGCGCGGTTCCCAACCACCCCATCCCCTGGTTCCCTCCCCCTGTCCTCCCTAGGTTACGATCGCACACCTCTGGATCCTCCTCCATGCTGTCGTCCGCAAAGTTAAATTGAAGCTGTGGCCCGCGATAGCTGTGAGCCATACTGGATGTCGTCCGACTTTCATCGTTTACGCCCTCAGCCATCATTTCAGGCAATGTGGGGGAACTCGCACAGGTCCCCTGCGCAGTCACTATATACCCTCCATCCGGCGAGTACTGCGCTTGTGTGGTCTGAGCGGTGGTATTAGTGGACCACATAAGCTGCGGTTCCACTGTCAACACATTGTATACACGAAGTCCAGAATTTCCGGCATCCCCACCAATTAGCAGCTCGTACGGGTTGTGTGGATGAAAGCATAGTGCCTTTATCGTGCTGTGTTGGTCAAATGGTATTACCTGCACGGGCGAACGAGGGTTTTGTAAGGACCAGAGCTTTACGGTTCCCATATCACTGCCCGTGGCGATTAGAGAGCCATTGACACTCCACGCCACGCTGCAGAGACGATCGTGATGCTTAAGATAGTCCGATGCCCATTGCACTCGCCTCAGTGCTTGTCCAGCCGGGAGAGAATCCCCTGCGGTAGCAAAGGTGTGAGCAGCCAAGGCGTCTTGCTCCTCGGGATCACCACGTGGGCTGTAGCTGCAACACGCACGAGGAAGATGAACAGGCACTTCACCTCCAGCCAGGGAGGCCCTGGAAAGACCAGAATTCCCTCCGAACACCGTGCACGGATTCCTAGACCGCGCATCCAGGGTAAGCAACTCACCGCCGGCCGTGGCAACTACCCCGAGCCATGGATGAGTACCAGAAGTGGCAATCCCGCATACGCTCGAAACAGACGACATGGACGCCGACAATGCCTTACTCACTCTTGACAATAACACCCCTTCCGACAAAGCGATGCGCTTGTTAAGCAACAAAGGCGCCCTCATACCGGCCGCTAATGTTTCATATGGCGATGGCGGCATCGTAAAGACATTAGTGCGGGCAAGGCTACCGTGCTCCGTGCATTGAAAAAGCTCAACACCACCGCCGGAAAGGCCAAGGAAACAGCTTTCATCGTTGTGTCGGCAAACCGCCACCGCCGTTGGTTGCCTTCTAGACGTATTGCTGGGGCTTCCAGACGCATCGTTTCCTTTAGCAGGGTCTATGTCTGAGACGCATATGGTGGCAGATCTCTGGCGAGGCGAGGCTGGATGGAAAAAAAGAAGATCGTGACGAAGTGCCAGGGCGATTTGCTCATGTCCCCAGGAAAGTGTGTTGATGTAAAAATCGTCCTGAAAGTCATATGCACTGAGTACACAGAACGGTGAGCTCAAACGGGTCGGCGTCCATTGTGACTGAGCCGGAGTGAACAGCATACGGGGATCAAGATGATAGCGATTCGGCAACTCGGTCATATGTGTAGCACTACTCCCACAATAGTTACCACCAGAACCACACGAGGAGCGGAGCGAAGTGGTGTTTCCTATGGCCTGAAAAGATGAAGCTATCTCAACATCCTCCTCAGTCATTAAAGGAAGAGAAAAAGCAGTAATAAAAAAACGCTTAAAAGGGTAAGGAAGAACTAAATTAAAATGTGCTGAACTTTGGGCCCAAAAGAAACCTGAATACGACCAATGTGAAAAAAATTCGATTACCTAAAAACAAATATAAGCAATATATTTGCAGTAGATTCTAAAAGAGAATGTGCCCCTCGGATATGCACCAAGGGCAAGACTAGATTTGGAAACGCAAAAAAAAAGGTAAACAAAAGAGTTTTTGATTATGACCAGGTAAAGCAGGATCAAAACTAAAAAAAAAAAAATTCAAAGTCCGAATTTCCCAAAATGGAGTAAAACTTATCTGATTCCCGCTTATACTATTAGTCTGTGATAATTTAAACACCATCAAATTATTAAGGTGTGTTAGAAGTTGTAAATATAATATTATTTCTAGGAGGTGAAGAACAAGAGCAACAATATTAAATTCGCAGCAGCTTAATAATTGAACTACTCAATTCTTCCGAAAGAAATACAAAGCTGAAAAGAAAATCACCAACGAACCCCAATAGAATTCTTACACCTAAAAATGATAGTGATAATAATAAATAAAAAAAACAGTAAAAATATAATATTTGTACTAACCAACTGGATAGAAAACAAAAATGCTTTAGTTATTAAATATTAGAACCCCATACCACTCATACCGCCCATGCCACCCATGCCACCCATTGGAGGTGCGGACTCCTCC